TATAAACATATAATGCAAACCTGTTGTGAGCCAATCGCTAATAGATATGGTTTTACATGAGAAACACCTTCTTTTCTGACAGGTTAGTATTGATAGAATGTAATCGCAGTATTCCCCGCTGCGTCCCTCTGTAGGCTCACACCATGTATCAGGTGGGTCTGATGGAGACCGACCAGCACATCGAGTTCTTCTGGATCGCCTTGGAGATGTTCACTCAAGAAGAGCTCTGCAAGTTCATTAAGTTTGCCTGCAACCAGGAGCGAATACCGTTCACCTGCCCCTGCAAGGATGGGGGGCCAGACACCGCCCATGTCCCCCCTTACCCCATGAAGATCGCCCCCCCTGATGGAGCTGCAGGTAATGGCTAACAAGGCTTTAACAGGGCCGTGATTGGACAGAAGGGCTGCTATCTCTGGTGATGGTCTTCTTAGTGCAGAAACTGCTGACAGCGATTATCAAAGCACCTCGTCCTGTAACCGCAGACAGACTTTGAACATGTCGTTTGTCATATCTTGTGTTTTTAAATGAATAGATTTGTATAATGGACATGTAAAGCTGTTCCATGCAGGAGGGGATACTGTTTCACATGTTTGAACTTCTCATCTGTCACAGAATTGGGATCTGTCCTAGTTTCCTTTGTCACTATTTAGATGGCAGGCTAAACACAAACTGTCTACTCAGGTTTACTACAGATAAGATACGTTGACACTCGCTTTTATCGGCACATAAATCGTGAACACTTGCTACTCAGCAACTCATTGTCCCTCCTTCAGTTTCATGTGAAACTCCAGTAGTAAACATACGTAATAAGACTCATTATGCAATAGAAGTCGTAGGTGGTTTTGTTGTGATGCACCTTCCTGTTTCTCTTCTCTCCAGGTCAGCCAGATTCGCGCTACATCCGTGTGGAGACCTGTATGTTCATGGTGAAACTGCCCCAGTACACATCTTTGGATGTGATGCTGGAGAAGCTGCGATACGCCATCCACTACCGCGAGGACCCTCTCAGCGGTTAGAAGACTCGACAACCCCATGTTCCCAAGCGTATACAGCTCTTTACGCTCTGCTGCTTCAACAAAATCACACATTTTATTTCATTTTTTTTCTGGGTGGCTATTATTGCTTTGCATGTTTACCCCCGCTTTTCTTTTTTTTTTTCTTTTTTGCAGTTTACACAAATACTACATTTCATGATATGTTTGACGCATTTTTGTGAAGAATTCAGGGAAGATAATCTGACACTGTTAACACGTGTCTGTTCTGGTTGCACTGAGTTTTTAGGATGGCATTGAAGTGAAACAACTGTGACGTGCTTTTTTTTCTGTTTGCCTTTCCCTTCCCCCACCTTTAACAGAGGGTTTAACAAGTTCTGTGAATTTAACAACTAAATAGGATGACTTCAGATCAGCACTTTACAGTTGCAAATTTAATTCAAGACTGCTGAATCCTCTTTCTGATAACATTTTAGTATTGAAAAACTGAGTTGCGGAACTTTGCATTGCTGTGAAGGCAACAAACCAACTGTATCCCTTCTAATGCTTACCCTAGCTGCCTCCCTCTGTCTCCCCTCTGCGGGGGCCTTCGCTGTAGGAGCCTCTCTCCAGAGGGTTATGCTGGATGTGTGTGAGGAGAAACCCGTGATTTCCAGAGAATTATCTGACGTTTGAGACGCAGGTACGACTACTACCAGAAAAAAAAGAAATGTGAGACGCTACCTATTTTTGACCATGTCAGCTATGAGCAGGCACAAGATGTGAACAAGTGCTGTACAGGATATTATTTAGTTTACTGCCTGTTTAAAAAAATATGAACTGCTAATGGACAAACTAACTTATGCCTATATAAACTGAATACATTTTATCCAAGTCTCTGAAGAGAGGGTATTTAAGTCGTGTAAAAAGTCATATTAATCTATTAGTTTATGAAATTGCTCTTTGATTTTTCGAGTAGCTTTGGCGGCATGTTGGGTCAGGTAGATTGAGCGATAGGAGAGAGGTCTGCTGGCTCTGATATGCTTGCGTTTCAGGTTTGTGAAATCCTGTGTTCCTGAGATGATATTCTCAAGAGCTGCTCTCCTACATGGTTTGTGTGCTACTGAATGTGCAACCCCCCCCCCCCCCTCGCTCCCCAACATACACGATCTACACACATAGACTGGGGGAGGGGAGGCGGATTATCCTGAGTTCTGCGTTTTCATAATTTTCTTTATTGAAAGAAGAACAGGTGTTTTGCTGTTTTTCTCTGTTGGTTACAATCCGGGGGAAAAAAAATGTAAATAGACTGACGTTATGTTTGATGGCAGTTTTTATTAATTGCTAATTCACTTCACCTTATTATTTTTGGTTTTGGTTTGCACTACTCTTCCAAGAAAATATTCTAAAATGAGCAAACTAGGCAATGTCTGTTGGATATCCAGTTTGTTGTGTTGTTATTTTTTATGAATTTTGGAAAAAAAACAGTAATCTAATCACCTTTTGTCTTGTACTCAGATGGATTCAATTTCTTCTACTCATGGTGAAACATGTTTTCTTGTAGGAGTAAAATCACCACTTTACTTGGATAGAACTGAAAAACATTTGGCTCATATTGGATTGTTGAATTGCTTGCAAGTTTTCGTTTTGGTTGAGTTCTTTTAAAGGGTGATGCACCGCTGCTAACGGGGACGCTCTCTCCTCTACTGCCTCCTCCTCCGGGGCGGTAGATAAGGTTATAAAAAGGACATATCCATACAAAGAGGTGTTGCGATAAAATGTGTGCTGTACATTTACTTGATATTTATTACAATTATTTATGGTTGCATTAACTTAACTTTTACTGTCTTACCTCTGCTCATCAGAAACTTAACATATCTAATATGGATTATACAGATGTAAAGAATCAGATGGCATTTGAGATTTCTGTGTCACAATAAAAAAAAAAAATGTCTTCATGTACAAATTCCATTTCCATTTCTTTATGTATTTTATATATTGACCCAGTACATTTTGTCACAGTTATTTTTTCTTTAAGGCATTGCTCAGATAAACATCCGAAGTTGGGGAAAACATGCGTCATGAATGGATGTTTTCTACTGCAAAATCCTCCCAAAATGGGTCATTTGCATACTTGACTGAACAGCGTTGACGTGGTGTGTAGCAGACATGCCTGTTTACACGTGTGCACAGACAATGGCTGTTGGTCATGATGAATGATGACTGTGAGACGTGCTTTGTCTCCTTTAGCACATGCCTTTTCTGTAAGGACCCCTTGCGACCAACCCTGGTTATGTCACCAGACACCTTTTGAAAGCAGCGAGTGCTGGGCCAGGCCAGTTCTTGCTGGATCTCCAGTCATGCTCCCCACCGACTCAAACTGTCCTTCCAGCTCCATTATATGCTATATCCAAAGGGAACCATCTACAACTATTGACGCAATGTTTCATCAGCTAAAATTCTGTAAAAATAGGTCAGATATTTCCGCTGCAAACTCAGTTGATAGGAGATGCGTATAATGTGTATAGCTCTTCAGCTGAGCTATTATTAAAGAGCCACTGATGTGTCACTTAGAACTGTGATCTGTCAGATAATCATTTAACAAAAAAAGCATCTCTATGGGTCGAGTTCCGCTAATATCTTGATGGAAAATGTCTAGTTTTAATACCAAGTCTACGAGGTTACCCAAGAGGAATTCTAGGAATGTCTCCAGCGTGTAGACTTGATGGTTTCAAAGGAACAGCTGTCTCGCTCTGTGACATAAAGGAACCACCACCCTTTTTAATGATCATCAGACCAATGAGTGGCCAGGAAAAGTGCCACATCCCTAAAAATCCAGCCAATTGAATGCTGTGACGTTCAGCGTAGTCACAAGGCGTGACGATGTCTGCGGTGGTCATGCAACATGTGACTGACCCAGTAACCGCTGCTGTCTGCAAGTCAGTGAGGCCACTTGACCTGGCTCTGGAATACAATGCTGTCTACTGAATACCTCATTCTAGGGTGATTCATTTTTGAAAGTTACTGGTCAAATTCAAAACTTTATGATATACTCATTCATTCATAAGGGATCAAAGCTGCTTCAGAATGTAGTTCTGTATGCATCGTGCCTGCCAAAGCACTCACTGAGGAGAGGGGAAGCTAATTGGAAAGTAAGCTACTGAGACCAGCGCTATTCATGAATTGTCATACAATGAATAGTTTCATGGTATGGCTGAGATTGTAATTAAGCTGTGGCCCCAATGCACTGCGCTCGCACTGTTTAAACATCCCTGTCAGTGGTTTACAGAGCAAACGCAACATGTAGACATACAGTATACACATTTTAAATACTAAAGTACTTTGGTTTTCTTTTGGATTCATGTTTTGAAGAGTGTAATTTATGATTTCCAAAATCTATTTGGAGAATGATCCATTCATTAAACACTTCATATGACATTCTAGTCATCGGAGATATACAGTGTATATAACAGCGTGACTGATAATGTATTTTTAAATACCGATAACATATCGGCCAACAGTGTTGTTTTTTTACATGACATAAGCAAACAATCTTGAATTAGATCCCTTCAATTTTTTAGAATTGTGACCAAGTCACATACTATGCAGGACTAAACAATTGTCACACCGTTTTTAACTACGTCAGACTTGGTTTTTGCACAAGCAATGTCTTTTATCGGCCGACATACACCGATACAATATACCTGCAATAAGCAAATATCGGCCTCTCCTACTTATCTTTTAGCTCCCGTATAGAAAGCACATCTTAAAAAGTCCATTTGCTTTTGGTCATGTTGTGAAGAAGAGGTTTGATGTGTATTTCACATATCTGCAGTCAGGAATAAGAACTTTGTCAAGGCAGGAAAATGATTTAGGACACAATATTCAGAAATATAATTTATTCATTTTTAAAATAGATTTCAATGTACAAAAGCAGAACAACACACAAGCACACTAAATACAAATAGAAATGCAACCTAAATTTGTCAGTACGTTGCAGTTTTTCTGAAAGAGGTTTCTCCGGTCAAAAACTACCTCTATACCAGAGCAGCATCACAGCTCTCTCACATTTGTCTCAGTCTCAGTGCTCAGGATAGTCTCTCAGTCTGGAATGATTTGGTCTATAGAGCACATGGATATTGGGCTTTGTGGATTGAGACCAGCTGATGGAGGAATGGAGGAAAGGTCAGGAGGACCCGAGGTAGTCGGCCACGCTAGATAACACCGAGCTGTTTTTTCAGCCTACTTAGCTCCTCCATGCTGATGTTGTTGCCGCCGCACACCACAATGACCACTGGGCCCAGGCGCTGAGCCAGCTTGCCCTCATCCTGCAGCCTTTTGATAATGTTACTGTACACAGCTGCCAGGGCAGCACCACAGGCAGGCTCCACCAGGATCTTCTCATCATCTGCAGAAAATAGAGATACCAGGAGAGGTCAGTCTCACAGCTGATTGGTGCCATTTTAGATCTGCTGTGCATCTGTTCAGGTGCAGGTTGCACTCACCTACGAAGCGCTCCACAGCTTTTACAGCCTCCTGGTCTGTGACTAATTCTGAAAAGACTTTGTGCTCGCCCACCAGTTTAAAAGTCTGTGAGGACACCCTCGTCAGGCCTAGCGTGGTTGCAACACTAGAGAGCAAAAAGAAGGGTTAGTCTTTGACACACAAAGAGGAACTACGCGAGGAAAATGTTATTATTTGAATACAATGTCCATGAGTAGATCTTACCTGGTGATTTCAGGTAAAGTGACCAGCTCCCCAGCCTTCATTGCTGCATTGAGGCTATGTGCTCCCATGGTTTCCATGGCTACAATGGGCACGTCAGCCCAGTCAGCACGACGCAGTCCCTCCACCACTCCGTTCAGCAGGCCTCCGCCTCCCACCGACAGCACTATCGCTCCCGGCTTCTCCTGTAGGTCTTGCTCCAGCTCCTTCACCAGAGACGTGTGGCCTTCCCTGTAACACACAAGCACAACCCAACCCTGTCAGTTCCTTTGAATTTAGTTTGATTGTAGTGTAATGTGAAGAAGGAAACAGTCTGATTTATTTCTCTTTAATAATTCTTCATTGAATGCAGGTGCGCTGTAAAATGCTGATCATGTCAACAGTAGCCCTTAGTGGTGTTGGTAATTTACGGTCTGTGACGTGGGGTAACTACATTATCTGACAGTCCCTTACAGTTAGCACCGTGATAAGATACCATGCATCTGACATAACACCTCATCCCGGCCCCTGCAACCCCGCATGAATGACACCGCATGATAAGTCAGGCGTTACTATCAGTCAGTTGCACATCTTAAAACAATTTCATTTGTAGAGAAAAGAGAAGAATCTGTCTTATCTCCTTACGTCAGAGAGATTACTATGCGAGAATTTCTGCACAGTGCATATAGTTGTGTACATGCTGTCACAATCCCTGAAGGACAGACGTGCAGAGATCGTCTCACCAGATGAGGGGATCATCAAAGGGAGAGATGAATATCCAGCTGGGGTTATTTGCCACAAGCTGCTGTCCGTATTCAATGCTTTCATTTAGAGCCTGAAAGAGACAAGATACAACTTCATTTCATCAGATGAATCATTTTGCCTTCTCAGTCTGTTCTAAATGTGACAATTCGGTGACAAGAAATAAGAAAATTATAATAACTGCGCACACAATTTTTGCCAGAATCCAACAATACATGTATCTATTTATGCTTAAAATAGAGTGTGATTGATGTAAATAAAACAATCCATGACATTAACTAACCTTGCCGTGGATAACCACAGTGGCGCCTTCGTCCTTCAGCCTCTCCACTGTTGGGTTTGGTGTAACACTTGGAACTACTATGGTTGCAGGTACCCCGAGCTGACGGGCAGAATAAGCTGCTGCCATACCAGCGTTTCCTCCTGTTGGGGCCAAAAGTGCCAAAGATTACACACCAAAACACACCGACAGAGGCATGGACAGTTCATCCATTGATTTTTCTTTAGTTATTACCTGAACAGCAGACAAACCGCTCACATCCCCGCTCAGCCCACTACAAGAAAAAACAACATTACAGTCAGAAAGGGAACCAATACATCGTCCCAGTGTTCAGACTGGAGCTGAAAACGGGTTCATACTGGTTCATATGGATCTATGCTAAGCATCTCAGCCACACAACATGACAACACACTTCACACCAGAGCAGAGGAGAATTACTCACAGTTTTGCAGAGGTGTCCGATGCCCCTGATCTTAAAGGAGCCGGTAGGCTGAGATGAATCCAACTTGAGGTAAACAGAGGTCCCAGCTACTTTAGTCAGGGCAAGGCTCTGCCTCACTGGAGTGGCCACATGAAGAGACTGCTGGGTCTTCATCATCACTGTGGAACAGACCAGCAGAGAAATGGTTTCTCAAGAGACAAGGGCCAAATAATTCAAAGATCATTCACAAAAATAAAAATAAATACAAAGATGATATTTTAAGTTTGCTTCAATTTACCAGTATCAGATAGATGGCAGGATAACAAACTGTACTGAGTATCACTGATCCCAAACTTCCGTATTCACTTTACTCTTTGATATTTCGTGCCTTTATACAAACTTGAGCTGTGGGCTTGGCATGGTAGGCCCACTGTCAGACCAATCAGCGTGAGGCATGACGCAGACCCTCCCAGTGACCACGAATAGGAAAGAGTGGACACTGAGGATGAAGAAAATTCCTCTTCATTCGTCCCATTTTCTTCAACAGTTTTCTAGGATGTGTCACGTCTACGTGACAGAACGCGTGCAAAAACGTTGTTTTCAATAACAGCCACTACATCATTTCACCGTCTTATCGCATCCTTTGCACCCCCTGTGGCATTTTAACGCGCTGTCATGTGCGTGTTGCTTTCCCCTCTAAAGGACTTGCACGCACCGCAGACATTACCAAAAGAGTCGCGACTATTTCGGCCCCGATGCCCCGACTACCAAAAGCGGGGAGCGGGAACAGCCTCCGTGTGGACGGTTCAAACCTGAACGATCCGGTGTGGTGACGTGAGCTGCTGTCTCAGGATGACTGGAATATAAAGTGCTTTAATATGAGGTTGCTCAGCATGGCAATGTCTTGTAAATGGGTTTAAATACAATGTAGTGTAACTAAGTGGCCTACTAAAAGTGAACATCAGATTACAAGTTTCAGCTATTTCTAGGCAACTTAACTTGAATGTTTCTACATACTTTTTTATTCTAATGTTCTTTTTACTCCATTACATTCATATGTATCAGCCATTCTAAGTTACTTTGCAGAATTACATTTGACATTAAAAGTCAAATTATTATCTCATGAAAAAACACTGATTAAATTGTAAACAATAACAATGAAACATGAAAATAAAGCATACATGTTATGTATCATCAATATAAACATGCATAACGAATATTCTTAATATTTAAAAAACATACTGTTGGTCATACATGTTGGCTAGTTTTATGTTGTAACCAAGACTTTTTACTTTACTTATAATAAACTATCTTTACATTTTACCAAAGTGCTTCTTCCACCACTGCATGTAGGTCAGACTGTCAAACAAGGTTGCTGATTATGTCAGGTTATAAGCAACCCAGAACTTAAGGTGATAATTAAGCTGCCTTGATTTCAAATAAATTGATTCTAATGGTTATCTTTTTCTGAACTTGGTAAAACCCTCTTTGGTAATACTACTATATTGCAACACCCGTAAGGAGCTGTTACAGTACAAGACTGAAACCAGACTTGAAAGCAGACAGGACCACAGTGGGTCAGTGGTCAACATTGTAAATTCCTCATAACTAAAAATGGGCTTGACCTCCGCCCTTTTCTGTGCAGAGACTGTCATGTTAGAATTTGATTCTATTGTTTGGTGGGTGTCATTGTAAGATACAAAAAGCCCAGTCAGCAAGTTATCAAAAACAGGGCTATATATAAAATGTGAAAACAAAAACAATGTCGGTACTTACATTTATGTCTTGTCATTAATATTATATTTTGTACAAATTTCATTGCATGATTCTAAACCTTGCACCAAGACTGCAAAGCCTTTCCTATCTCAACATTTTTAAATTCCAACTTTATTTAAATGATTCTTTAGTTGAGAGGAATCATTTAACACCATCTGTGATGTATAAAACATCCTGCACACTATCAGCTTTTTCCGCAGCAGACATTTAGAGCAGGAAAGCACAGGTGGAGCCTCTTGCATTATCAATGGCCCCATACCATTTAAATGTCCCAGGAAAAGCCATGAAGGCACACATGCACAATATGTCAAGGCTGAAGGCCACTCTAAAGGCTTGTTACACCATCTACTGGTGAAGAGCTGCACATTTGTTTTCATCGGAGAGCATACTGTAGTTACACTGGTTGGCCTCATATGGTTTTATTCAAAATACTCCTTGCTTATTTCTGCAATATCATTTTTACAATCTTCATTTTTAAGGTCGAGAAATAAGTATTTATCGATTCATATCTGAAGTTACCATTGCAAGTAATTTTGCTACAGAAATATGGAGCACATGACCTGAAATACCTGCAGGGTTGGGCTGTGAAGAGGCTCCCCATTAATGAATGTATTCCGTGTCACTATAGTGCAGACACAATTCTTCCGTCTGAATGTCACATGTAACATGTAAATAACATGTTTACAAGCACTATATTTTTAAAATCTAAAAAACGTAGTTGTCGTTAATAATATTACAAAAACAAATTCTGTATTCCATTACATTCAAATGTTTGACACCAGTTCAGCAAGTGTAAATGAAAAAGCTGGAGGCACAAGATGTCATGTAGTTGTTTTGAATTTGAAAGTTTGATTGCTGTTCTATCATTACAATGTAACAGCATCTCTGTTATTGAGTTAATCAAACAATCATGGTGTCTTCTATTACCTCTAAAGCACACACAGGATGGGATTTAATAACATTCATGGACATCAGTTCAAAAAGTTGCATTGCAAACAAAGACATTCCTACATTTCAACATTTCTCACCAAACAGGGTCCTTATTGCCCTGCCAAAAAACCTCTGGACTTTAGTCGGCTCTGCTTGACTTTTACAGGTGGACCTGCATCAGGTGACCCGTCTCCTGGGCAGGACTGGCTGCACCACGGCTGACAGCTGGTTCCTTTTCAGCTGATCCAGAAGCATCTATAACAGCAGCAGCTGCTGCCCCATCGTTGGCACAAGGCCTATTTGTAATGCCATCACAGGAGCAAGGAGCCGCTGCGGCTGCATCATTATTAGGTTTGGGTAAAGCCTGGTTGTCAGAAGGAGGTTCCTTTCTGAGTCACCGAGGAGCGGCTGAGCCTGCGCAGAAAGAGGTTCCTCTGTTGAGTCCTCCGTTGGGCATTTAGCTGGATTTGAAATATCGTCTTCAGTTCTGTAGTTGCTCAGATTTGTTGAGGTGCAGAATCGTTTTGCAGTATATTGTGGAATCATCAGTATCTCGATAACTTCATTTTCATGTTCAACATATGAAAATGTCATTGTATCATGATTTACTCTGCGTTTCCCTACACATGTTATCCCAAAATGTCAGTATCTCACTACAGTGGCCTTTCCCTTAAGCTCCACCCTCAAGCCCAAAAGTGCACCAACACTTTCCCTCTCACCAGAAAATAAACCCCCTTGATGAGCCTTTCCTCTGACGCCAGCCTCAGGCCAAACTTTTCACTGCCATATGTATGATGTTTGTCTGAAAAGGTGCCCGGGAGTTGATTTTGATACATCCATCAACTGAAAATGATGCCTGTGATCATGATTTTCTTTAAGATTTTTGTCAAATGGAAAGTAAAAGCTCTGCAATGCATCTGTACTCACAGTGTTGAAGGTGCCATCCATCAGGTATGGCTTTTCAGTTACATCTATGGCATCACTGGATGTGTAAACCACACCATTGTACACCTTAACTCTGACTTTACGTCTTGCAAAATTCAATATTCAAGGTGGAAACTGGAAATATAGAGGTTATTTGGTCAGGCCGTATTTATCATGTCATACGCTGATAGAAGCAAACCATTACAATGTGAAGTGTGGTGAGTTAGACTTTATACAATTCAAAGGAGATCAAAAAAAAACATTGGTCTCTCGTTGACCAGTGCCTCTCTATAGTTTGTTGACATTCGAGTGGTAGTTGATGTCACAAATTCCTGATATCTGACTGCAAATACGACTCAAGATGTTAAATGAACGGTTCCTTTCACTTGCTGCTGTTGAACAATTTGACTTGAATGCAGCATCAGTTTAGCTCAGGTGTGGTTAATAACCTGGTGCACGCGGGGGCGAGGCGCCTGAACTTATCTAAAGATTGCACTGAATCCACTTTATGAATGGTTGCAAACGAAGCATAACCTAATGATGCATTCTTTATTCGTGCTTTCCTTTTCCTGACTCAGGCTCCCACAGACCTTCATGCCTCCCTCTGCACGGCACTCACAAATCCGCTATGGCAACAGGGGGAAAAAAGACAAGGAACAAAAAAAAAAAGGAAAAGATTTAACAACATGGCGCACTTTCCTTGAGAAAAGTTTCTCCTGAACGCCACATAGCTCAGTGTCTGTGGATTTTCTTCGCAGTTTTGTCGACACTCGTGCAACATCGTGGAATTCGGGGATGAACTTTTGAACACCTCGTGATACATGAACAGTAGATTAAAAAAAAAACGTCCGGAGTGTGATGGGATGAGAGCGATAACTAGTCGCACAAACCAAAGCCGACAGACAGGATGGAGAAGCAAGCGAGTCAGAAAGAAAAGGTAAATAAACACAAAAAACAATTTCTTCACTGACATGCGAGCTGTCATTTATGTTGTTGTTGGCAGTTTTGCGTCTCCCAAATAACACTTTTTTTTTTTTTTTTTTACCTCGCGTTCTGGACAGGAAATACCAAATGACCATTACTGTGAAAACCTCGTAAAAGACTTCTATCGATTTTCCAGTCATGCATACTCTAATGTGTGGGCTTTCCTGGCGAAAGCAATAGCCAACATAAATGTGATTTAAAATGTCAACAGAAGGTCATGCAGATTACAGAATTGACTAACCCACACTTAATTTGATTTTGCATGAACAGGGAAGCTCGCGCAGGGGCGGTAAATGTGTGTGCATTGCTATGCGTAAATCTAATTGCCCAACTCAACTGTAAACACGTGCGTTCCAGCTATATTTGCGCGTGAGGAGGTGAGTTGCTCTCTGCCTCCTTGTGATTAGATTGGTAGGGTGTCCTCTGTATTGGTGTAGGTTCTCATTATCGCTCACTCTCCACCCTTCCTGCCCAGTGCTGCCCACACACACACACACACACACACAGTAGACTGCACTCGCAGTGAACCATTCTGGAAAATCTCAGTGATTGGTTCCCTTCCCTGTCCTGCTAATACACATGAGATCAGCTTTTGCAGCTTTTGCTTGAAGGGGAAACCGACAGGCTCTTGGGCCCTGAATGAAGTTATTAATAATAAATACTTTTAGTGCCACTCTTTGAGAGCAGGCCTTGAATCTAAGCATGA